TAGTGTGGGTTGTATGGCTACAATCGCACGTCTGTGGCTTGTGTATTTAATGTTTCTATGAGTTTGTGTGTCTCTAAGTCTATATATATCTCTATATCTACGAGTATATTGTTGAGTCTTACTCTACAGTCCATAGTGTGGGCTGCGTGGCTACAATTGCACTTCCGTGACTGCCTTTACGTTTGCGTTCATGAAGGAGACGAGTTGCAGCATTGGCGTGCTGCTGATGTTCTCATGCGGTCGATGGTTCCACCACCAGTGTGGTTGAGGAGAGGAGTGTCAAATCCATGAAGACGGGCAAATGCCTGAAACGTCGCCTATTGCACATACAATTTTAAGGCCATGCAAATGTTAAGGAATGCGCTGAGATTTTTATTTGTTCTTTCGCACCACTGGCAACGCAGCAGCAGCATTCTCAGGGTGGGGACCCACTTTTGCCCGATAAGCCACAATTAGTGTGAACGCGAGAGATAGAAGCGAGAGTCTGGACTGCGGCCGACGTAAAAAAAAAAATCTACGTTTCTCATACAGGACCCTGCCCATCAAGCCCGCCTCCGGTTTCAACCTCCCCACGCCGCCAGCAGTCGACCATCGACCGACCCAGGCCATGGGGGGGGGGGGGGGGCGTGTGGCCAATGCGGCTACCGGACGCTCAAATGACGCCATCGAAGATTTGGTGGCCTGTGAGAGTGCGGCCATGAATCACAAACCATCAATCCCAGCGTAAACACTCCTTGAAAGGAGGAATGGACAGAGATCCACTCTGCTTCTGAACCAGACAATTAAGTGGATTACAACTCTAATGGCATCTTTTATCTGCCGTTATTAATCCATACGAAAGAAGAAGTGTGAGGGCCACCACACCATTTGAAACCATTGGGGGTTTGATAGCAGCACGATGATGGGGGGGGGGGGGTGTTTTTACATCTTGTTTATTAAATTTCGATTTAAAGCTTTCGTGACTGCAGGGATTCATAGTCTTGTTTTTTTCGGTAAAGTCACGTAGAAGGGAAATAATAAACAAAATTATTACGACGTTTCGATTGCAACACAAGCAATCATCATCAGGTGTGAAAACCTTGCTGTGTTTTTTGCTTGCTGTGGTTTTCACACCTGATGATGATTGCCTGTGTTGCAATCGAAACGTCGTGAGAACTTTATTTTATTTGTATTATTTCCCTTCTACGTAACTTTACCGAAAGAACCAAGAATATATTGTGTATTGTTAAGGGGGACCGCACGAAAGGCCGCCAGTGGCCCCTGGTGGCCAATGAAGAACCCTGAAATTACGTAGTAGCTGCGTGGTGGTGGTGGCTATGCCACTGCGCGTGGCTGTCTGTGATCCAGCGGTGCTGTGGAGGCAGCACCAGCAGCGAGAGGTTGGTGGATCACCACCACAGATGGGGTTGCAAAACTCCCTTCTACCCTTGGGTGGGCGTCGAGAAGAAGGAGCCCGTGCCCCTGGCTCTGCCAGGAGAAGGCAGTAGAGCAAAAATGTGGACGTCACCTGTACCAGATGTTGAACTTCTTTCGCACAGTACGTAGCTAACCGTGCTAATTGGAGGTTCCGTCTATACGGGGATAGAGTGTTTCCCCCTCGCACGCGTGGGGTTTCTCCGGGTGCTCCGCTTTCCTCCCACACGTGTAAACACTCATTAACTGGTCGATAACACCTTCATATATGGCAACGTGTTGGCAAATGTTGACTACCTCCTCTGGTATACAGGATGCTGTGGGTTCGATTCCAACCCTGACGCCTGCTCTATATTTGGTGTTTGCGTGTCTGTTTCTCCGGGTCCTCCGGTTTTTCCCTCCACATTTAGAATCAACGTCACGCGTTTAGAGTCTTTGGCTGCTAATATATTTCCGCGTGATGCTGATAAGCCACTTCATTGAGCTATCGTTTATGATTGCCAGGTCGCTTCTGAAAAAGAGCTACACAGCTGAGTGGGCCTTACCTGGTAAAATAAAAAATAGTTTAGTTTTTAGATTATATTTTGCGGACCGCAGAGCGTGGACAAATATTGGTCGTGCCGGTTCCTCACCGCGTGGCTGCCTCTGCATTTCCGGCTCCTCCGTCCGTGGTTCCTGAGCAACTGTGCAGATGCCGGTAAAGTAACATCTTCATACTCTTAGTTCTTTCGGTAAAGTCACGTAGGTAAAAAATGAAATAAAAATGAAAATAACGACGTTTCGGAGGCAACACAAGTCTCCGTCATCAGGTGGGACCGTCACAGCCAGATTAGCTGCATCAAGTGAGGGAGGAATTCAAGATGTAGGCTCTTAAGTACCAGTTCAGGGAGGAGGGGGGAGGGGCTTATCAGAATGTGGTAGCCAATGAATGGAAAGTATCGGAAGGGGGGGGGCTAACAGAGGGACGGGGTACTCGTGGTCGAGGTCAAGGACGTGTTTGTGCGCAAGTCACTGTGGATGTACATCATAGGAAAGGAACGAAAATGCCCATGTTTATACCAATGTTGGCTGACAATAAAGAGAGTACTGTTAAACGTTAGGGATGTTAACACTCGGTAAAGTAAAAAATAGTGCCTGTCAGATAAGATGGTCCAACAATGTGTAATTAAATCTTTTTTGCATGGTTGATAACATCTTTCCAATGATTACTAAGTTTGTACCCATCATCACGGTTGAAATTATGTCTGTGTTTGTATATCTGAATGGCTTCGTGTACAAACCTTTGATGGTAGCCAGAGGGTCTGCAGAGCACCTGGTCTCGGAGAAAACAATCCCATGAGAGCCCACCGCGTTGTAGTTTTATAAGGGCACCACGGGACTAGCCCCTCCCCACCCAGCCCCACCCCCCACCCAGCCCCTCCCCACCCAGCCCTTCCCCACCCTCCCCACCCAGCCCCTCCCCACCCAGCCCCTCCCCACCCTCCCCACCCAGCCCCTCCCCACCCAGCCCCTCTCCATCCTCCCCTCCCCACCCATCCCCTCCTTCCCCACCCAACCCCTCCCTGCACGACGGACGGACACAATAATCACCCGTGGGCTGGTGAAACCAGGAGGTTCCTACCAGTAACATCATGTGATGAATGGATTCGTCCAACGCGCTCCACCCCCACCGCCTGCTGACTTAATGGGCCGGCCCGACCCGGAAGTGGTCCACGTCGCCGGGGTGCGTGGGAGCTCCCGGGGCGCTGCTCTATCCACTGCTGGACGGCGCCCCCCCCCCCCCCCCACGCCGTGGGGAGAGAGGGGTTGTTTGGCCATACTTCACCACTCCGGTCAGTACGGGTTGTTGGTGAACGATTGGGGGAGGTACAGTGACCAAATACAACAGACTGTTGGCGAGTAGCAGCACCTACGAAGGCCGGCACGGCGGCACACGAGGGGGTGGGTGGCCAGCACCACGCCCGGCCGCCTTTGTCTCCCCAGTGGCGATGTTTGTACACACCGCACCAGGTACTACTCATTTGAGGCTGAGTCGACCTAGGGGAGGCCCAGGACCGGTTCAGATAATCGTCGCAGGTGTTGGTGGAGAACACGGTTCCTAGCCGGGTTCGTATCGCAGCGCGCTAACCGCTACGCCACCGCTCCCCAGAGACACGTGGCGAGATTCACACACACAGAGACCCACGGTGCTGTTGGTGTGGTCCGTCTCGTACGATTTGGCGACGAAACTTGCAAGCGAAAAGCAGCTGGCGACGTGATATTTATTGCATCAATGCGTGTGCAATTTGTACGGCCGCGGGGACACAGACTTATTTGATGTAAATGTTTTACAGTGCTACCTCGGAATACGACGTTAATTCGTTCCAGAAGGAAGGACTTTTTCCGAAAATGAGGTAGCCCAACGAATCTTTCCCATAAATAAATGGAAAGGAAATAATCCGTTCCAGAGTATAAGAAATTATATTTTATATGGCATATTATACATTAATGGGGTTGTATAAAATAATTTAGACACTACGTATTACAAAAATGCATAGATAAATTAAAATAAATGCATAAATAAATTAAAATTAATTGAAATTAAAATAAAATGTGACGTCGCTTCACCTTGCTGAGAGGAGTTGATCGCCTACGAGGATGGTGGTGAGGCAGGGGAGGAGGAGGAGATGGTATTTTTTGGAAGGAGAGTCCCCTTCCATTACAACTTCAGGAAGCTGAAATTCTGTGGTTTTTTCTCTTTCTCTTTTCTGTCTTTTTTCTTGACTTGGACCTGGTTGAGGCTCACCAGGTTTGAGTTTTACTAAAAACCTGCCCATTGAAGTTTGTTTTTGCCTTCTAAGAATGTTCCTGAAGTGTGACATTATCTGGTCATTCCACACACTACTGTTACGGCTTGTTAGAGCTTTATTGGGGTGGTATTTGCTGCAAAACTTTGCACTTCCATCCATTTTGCACACATTTATTTAATAAGTGAAGTAGGAGCTTTCTCTATCTCCTCCTCGCCTGAATTCGCAAAAAAATAACGTTAAAATGACAATAAAACACGTGAAAATTCACAGAGTTATCGCAAGGGTTGTGCACTGAACCAGATCTACTGTACAGGCAGACTGAGGAGCGGCGCTTTGTTTCAGTCGTGAACGGGGTCTACGCGGGTACGCGGTGACTCATCCCGACCCATACACGTTCTAGCGAGCGCGTCGTATCCCAAGCAAGACGTCGTATCCCAAGCAAGACGTCGTATCCCAAGACATTTTTTTCTCGTCAAAACACGACGTATACCAAATTCGACGTATTCCAAAGCGGTTGTATACCGAGGTATGACTGTAATCCCTTGTTCATCTCGACGTCCTTTTTACTTCTATGTCTCAATAGCGTCACGGAGATGGCGTGACGTGAGGGTTCTGCCTTTGTAGTGAGGGTTGTAAGTTGACGCTGAGGAGGGGGAAGGAGGTGCCTTGGCCCCCATGTGGAGTGACGTCAGCCGCTAATTATTATTAATGAGGGGGGTCCATGTGGAGGACGTCACCTGTTCATGATTATTAATGAGGGGGGCTGGTCGACGTGGAGTGACGTCACGCGCGGGACACACAGACATTCTTGGCTCATAGTAAATACCGTTTGTGTGAATCGTGCATACCGTGCGTATTCATTTTTCTAATGATTCCATGTGTATATCACGAATGTGGAATGATGGTTGTGCCCCCGTGTCTCATGAACAGCAGTTACATAACCAGTTCTAACCCTGCTATCTTCTCCGCAGTGTCTCAGTATCGCAACGTCTCCTCATCGCTCTATCCCAGTGAGTTTGCCTCTCCCCAGTGTCGCTGCTGCTCCCTGGACTCTATCTCCATGTCTCTGTTTTTATTGTCCCCGTGTCTATCCCCGTGGCCCCATCTCCTGCACCCCTGTCCCCATGGCTCTGTAATTCGCCGTGCCTGTCCCTGCATCTCTCGTTGCCCCCTGTCTCCCCATGCCCTGTAACTTACCGTGCTTGTGTCACCGCGTCTTACAATGTCTCCCCGCGCTCTCCCCGTGTCCCTGCGTCTCTCCGTGTCTCCCCGTGTCCTCCCGCGCGTCTCCCTGCGTCTCCTCGTGTCTCTCCGCATCCCCCGTGTCTGCTCGTTCTCTCCGCGTTTGATCGTGTCTCCCCTTATCTCCCCGTGACTCTCCCCCCCTGCCCCTTGTGCAGACCGTCTCGATGGGAGTTTCCCGCCGGCTGCTGCGCCGTCTGCGCCGCTGGGCGCGCCGCGGCTCGTGCCGCCGCCTCCGCTCGCTGCTGCGCCGCCACCCGGAGATCTGCGGGGCGGGGGCCGGGGGGAGCTCGGCGGCGGGGGCGGCCCTGATCTCGGCGAGCCGCCGGGGCCACGCGTCCGTGGTGCGGCTTCTGCTGCGCCGCGGCGTGGACGGAGCGGCGACCAGGGGTCGCGGCGGGGAGACGGCGGCGCACGCAGTGGTGCACAGGGCGCTTAGACGGCCCGCGGACAAGGGTGCGGGGACACGCGGGGGCGCTCGGGGAGAGACACCAGGGAGACACGGGGGGAGACGTCATGTAGATCAGGGTTGAGACACACGGGGAAAGATATGGGGGAGACACGGAACACAACGGGGACGTGGGTGGGGATGCATGGGGGACACGGGGGGACACGTGGCCATGCCCATGGCAGCTCTGCCTGTGCGTGCGTATTCACCAGTAGCTGTAGGAGTGGGTCGCTGTCGTGTTTAATGCAGCACTGCGCTACAAATGCGGCAAGATCCCGAGTTCGATTCCCGCTCACGGCCACCACCAACCCCAGTGACGATTATTTGAAAGGGGTCTTGGGCCTCCCCTAGGTCGACTCAGCCTCAAATGAGTACCCGGTGCAGTGCGTAAACATCGCCACTTGGAGAGGCTAAGGCGGCCGGGCGTGGTGTTGGCCACCTACCCCCTCGCATGCCGTTATCGGCCTTCACAGGTGCGACTCGCCAACAGCACTTGCCCTAACTGTGTTGAGGCTACATGGTGGATCTTTATTTATGGTGCCGCAGGCTGCCTCCGCGTGATCGCCCTGCTGCGCAAGTACTGCCCGGACTGCCTCCAGGTGCGCAACCTGGACGGCATCACCGCAGCACACCTCCTGGCTCGCCTGCCTCACCAGGTGTGCCCCCCCCCTCCTCACCCCACTCCCTTCCATTCCCGATCCCCTCCTCCCCCAACCCAACTCCCCATTGCTTCCTCCCTGCTGTGTCTCACTCATCACTTTTCTACTTCTCCTCCTCCCCATGTCTATCACCTGCTCCCCCCTCCTCCTACTCCCTGTGTCTCCCATCTCCTACTCCTCTTCCGCCCCCTTCTTGCTGTGTCTCCAACCTCCTCCCCCGTCCTCCTCTTCCCCCTCCCCTTCCTCCCCACGTCTCTCACCTCCTCCCCCCTCTTCCGCCTCTTTCTCCTCATCCTCCTCCTCCGCCCCCACCCCCGCTTATCTCCGCGTGTCCCATTACCTCCCGCCTCCACCACCAGGGCGGGCTTGCGGAACAGCAGGAGGAGGCGGTGTCGCTGGTGGGGGCCATGCTGGGCGAGCGTGGGGGTTGGGGCTCCGAGGAGGAGGGGCCGTGGGGAAGCCGTGGGGAGGACTCCGCGTGGCTGCGCCGCGTGCAGGACGAGTGTGAGGACGAGTACAACACTGCCTGGGGGCGCTACGAGGGTGAGACGCCCACTCCCTCACCACCCGTCCGTGGGTCTCTCTGTGCGAGTCTGTGGGTCACCGAGTGATGAGTCTGCGAGTCTCTGTGCGAGTCTGTGGGTCTCTCTGTGCGAGTCTGTGGGTCACCGAGTGATGAGTCTGCGAGTCTCTGTGCAAATCTGTCGGTCTTTCCGTGTGATGAGTCTGTGGTTCACACGCACCTACTCCATGCTTCTCTTCACTTTCGCTCCGACCCAGACGACTTCGAGGCGGCGGACGGCAACGGCTCCGAGCCCGAGACCTTCGAGGGCTGGGTTCAGCGCCTGGCCCGGGAGCAGCGCGAGCGCAGCCGCCCGGGCCCCAGTGCCGCCGAGCTCCGGCGCCGGCGGCTCCGCGAGGAGCGCGAGCGGCGCGAGGAGCGCTGGCGGCAGGAGCTGCGAGCGACGCTCGCCACGGAGCACTCGGAGCGCCAGCGCCGCGCGGCCGCGGCCTCCTCCGCCGCGGCCGACGCCGCGGCCGCCGCCAAGGAGTCGTACGAGCGCCGGCTCCTGGCCGCGGCGGAGAAGCTGGCGCGGTCGGCCGAGTCCGCTGCCGATTCTGCCGGGGGTGGGGCGCAGCGGCAGGGGGAGCTGCGGTACGATGACATCCCGTGGCCGGCGCCGCACGGCACCGCCGAGGAGATGGCGGCGGTGCTGGCGCACGGCGTGGACCGGACGGAGGAGGGAGGCGCCCCCTACAGGCGCCACCTACGCCGCCAGCTCGTGTTGTGGCACCCGGACAAGTTCGAGCAGCGGTTTGGCGCAAGGCTGCACGTGGCCGAGCGGGAGGGCGTCCTGCGCACCGTCAAGGAGTTGTCGCAGGCACTCAACAGGCTCATGGGGGCCAGCGCCACGTGATCGCGGTGGTGGTGATGAGGAAGATGGTGGTGACGGTGGAGGTGATGGTGGTGGTGATGGTAGTGGTGATGATGAAGTTGGTGATGGTGGTGATGATGATGATGAAGGTGATGATGGCGAGCTGTGGTGCAGCGGTTTAGCGCGCCGGGCGTGGTGCTGGCCGCCCACCCCCTCAGGTGCTGTACTGGCCTTCATAGGTACTACTTGTTCACTTGCCCCAACGGTCTTTGTGTGAATGTGTGCATCGGGTCACGCCACTCCTCTTTGCACGAATACACGTCACAATATTACTAAATGTAAATTATCTGAAAGTCTGAAAAATGTACAAACATACTCTTCAAATGTTGAAAATCCAACAATTTTTAATACAAAGATTATCCTGATGTGTACACACGTGTCTGTGTGTGTGAGGCTGGTCGAAGCTTCAGGGGCTTCTCGGCCACGGTCATGCCCTCCTTTCATGCTTGCGAAACGTGGGCCCCCCCCCCCCCCCCCCGAATAGAACATCTACACCAGATCCATAGAGTTACATAGAGACGCATAAAGTTACATAGAGATGCATAGAGTTACATAGACATCCTGAGTTGCATCGACATCCATAGAGTTACGTAGAGACGCATAGACTTACATTGATATCCTTAGTTACATAGAGACGCATAGAGTTGCATAGATATCCTTAGTTGCATAGACATCCATAGAGTTGCATAGATATCCTTAGTTACATAGACATCCATAGAGTTACGTAGAGATGCATAGAGTTACATAGACATCCATAGAGTTACGTAGAGATGCATAGAGTTACATAGATATCCTTTCTTACTACTCTTTGGGTCTTTCGGTAAAGTCATGTAGATAGAAAAATAATCAAATCAAATAAATTCACGACATTTCGATCGTAACACAAGCAATCGTCTTCAGGTGAAAAATTACAGCAGGCGGAGTGCTGAGGCAGGAAGAAATAATCATTCCGCCTGCTGTAATTTTTCACCTGAAGACGATTGCTTGTGTTGCGATCGAAACGTCATTTTTTATTATTTTTCTATCTACGTGACTTTACCGAAAGACCCAAAGAGTATGAATTCCACGAAAGCTTTAAGTCAACCTATGTTACGTAGAGGCGCATAGAGTTGCATAGAGTTACATGGAGACACACCGAGGCCACAGCCCAAGACTGTGGGCAGTGGTGGCAGTCCCAGCACACGGCAGGGTGGAGTGAACGTGAAAACTCAACCAGCGCCAATCAGAACCAGAATACTGATACTGGAGGAATCCGATGAGTTGTCAAGCTCTTAGTTCACATGTCCAGTCGGGGTACGGGGGTCACAACATTACATCCACAAACAACATACACGAAGACAACAACAATAGCAGTGCAAAGTAAAGGAGGGGAAATCAAGTCACTAAATATGAATGAAAATAAATCAAGTATACAAGTACAAATTACATAAACATGAACCGGCACTTTTATACAAATCTTGACATCAGTGAGCTTTATAATCGAGGTTTGTTGGGTTGGATGGCATCAATATAAACGTGTCGTTAACCGCGCCACCACCCGACAGCCAATTATGAAGGTTGTGTCAACAAAACGTGCCAATTAGCTACTGGTTCAGCACACCCCGGTTGTGTTGGAGAGTAAATCCACTACAACATTTAGAATTCGAGTCGCAATAGTTCAGTCGTAGCGAGAGGAGTGATACGGGGGTGACTGAGCGCCAGTGAGCGAGCGAGAGCAGTGATTCGGTGAGTGCTGGGCTACAGGGCACCCTGTGGCTACCTTTGCATAACAGGTGCTATAGGCTGCTTCGGAGTTGTGCTAAACATGTGGGAGCGGCAGCCGCCCGTGAAGTCAAATCAATTCCTGTACTGCACTTCTATGGCTCCCCTTCCTGCCCGATGCATCCTCCGCCTTCACCGAGCCAACAAACCCCCGTGACTGGCGTGGTGAAGTATGTCAATCCACGGCTGGAGGCCCTCATCCAGCAGTGGATTTGGCATTGCTGCATGCGGAGCACGTGGGCTCGCTGTTTTAGGGGCCGTCCATATATGACGTCACAAAGCTCTGCCCCCCCCCACCAAAATAAAACACGCTTCAAATCGCTTTAAACTATTGTCATTGTAGTGCGTATTAAATTGGCGCTGCACTCTGATGTAGGAGAAAACATTTATTAAAAAGTCTATTTAATTAAGTAGAACGTGTTTATATTTAAAATTGCGCATTTTGATGTGACGTCACATTTCTCACCCCCCCCCCTCGTCACAAATGTCTGACCCCCCCTAGTTGCGTGACGTCATTTATGGACGGCCCTTTAGCCGCCGTTGCTGCTACTGTGTTCACTCTGGCGATGTCTGTGATGCTCGTGTCCAGGGAATCTCCGTGCCGTGCTACTCGCTCAACTAAAACTACACTATTTATTTGACCAAACTGAACTAGTTTTTTTACTTTAACCAAGCAAGGCGCGCTGAGCTACGTAGCTCTCTTTCAGAAGCGAGCTGCCCACAAATGACAGCTCAACAAAGGGGGTCGTCATCATGTGGAACATTTACAAGCCGTCAATACTCGCATTGGTTCTAAACAGGGAGGGAAAACCCGGAGGTGGTGATGATGGAACATCCACAGGGAGAGAGAGAGACACGCAAACTCCAAATATACAGCGGCAGCAGGCGTCAGGGTTGGGATCGAACTCACGACCTCCTGCACACCAGGCGAGGTAGTTAACATCTCCTAGCCACCGTGATGATGAGAGAGACACGCAAACTCCAAATATACAGCAGCAGGGTTGGGATCGAACTCACGACCTGCACACCAGGCGAGGTAGTTAACATCTCTTAGCACCGTGACGATGATGAGAGAGACACGCAAACTCCAAAAATACAGCAGGCGTCAGAGTTGGGATCGAACTCACGACCTCCTGCACACCAGGCGAGGTAGTTAACATCTGCTGGCCACGTGGTCTGTTCAGGCTGCTCTGGTGACCGATGGTGAAACCCGCCGGCAACGCGCGTGACGTCATCGCGCGTGACGTCACAGGGAAACTTCCTCGGATTCCAACATTTGCATGAATCCGTGTTGAGTCGACTCCGTGTTTTGTGGCCGATTCCGATTCTTACAAAGACAACGAACCACCCGTGTAGCCTCAACAGACTGTCGGGGCAAGTGCTGTTCGCGAAGTTCCGGCACAACCACCACGCCTGGCCGCCTTCGCCCTGCCGAGTGGCGACGTTAACTGCACATCGCATCCGGTTATCATTTGAGGCTGAGTCGACCTAGGAGTGGGGGGGGGGGGGCACAGAACCGGTTCAAATGATCGTCACCGGTGTTGGTGACTCGATCGGGTTCGTAGCGCAGCGCGCTAACCGCTGCGCCACCGCTCCCCCGCGCCGATCGGGCCCCAGTACACAACGGAGCGTTGCATCGAATCGCCAATGAATGGACGAGGCGCCAATGCGTGAAGATTGTTGTTATCCATCGGGTTCGAGGGCGGTAAATGCCGACATCAGCAAAGGACATTTACGTGCGCTGCCAATGTTAAATAACAACAGGGTGGGGGGACAATGCTGATGCGTTAATTCGCGCTAAAAATAGATGTGTACATTTATATCCTGCAGCGGAAGATTAGTGCTGCCGGATACGGCAAACCACATTTGCAAATCTTTGATCCTTTGCCGTGTCCGTAGTAGGGGTCGTATCGATAGTTCAATGTGAATGCGCGGGGTGATTGAAGGCCCTCCCGTGCGTTGTCTTGTGTGGCTCTGGGACTGCTGCTGCTGTTTTGTATCGCTGCCTTGCCGTGCGTTCATTTTAGTGTCGACAAATGGGACAGCCAGTGCCCAAGTATTTATACATTCTAGTGACTCCATTACCCTTCCTATCGGTTGTCTTTGCACTCCTTGTTGTTGTAACTTTGCCCCCACCTTGCCCCCACTGAACATCTGTGCGGGAAGCAAAGAGCTTCACAGCTCATCGGATTTCTACTCCTCCTGCAGTCTAAATCAAGATTCCGAATCGCCGAACAACAGAACGACGAATCGAATCGCCCGTCGTGCGCTGGACCAATCAGCGGCGTCCGCGAGGGCATCGCCGGACGCCCCCCCCGCCCCTTGGCTCGCCTCGCCGCTTGAGCCAATGGGAGGCGTCCACGAGCTTTGGCGCCCCTCGACCAATGGGGCGCGTCCACAGCGGCGACTCGACCGTCGCGGACCAATGGGAGGCGTCCACGCGCCTCCGCCTGGAAGTATATAAAGCGGGCGGCAACGGGAGGAGGTGCCCGTCAGTCATCTGCAGAGCAACGTTGAGGGTTGAGCCTTGCGCGTGGTGGTGGTGGAGGAGCCTTCCTGGTCCCGTGAGCGTTAAGTGATCATTGCCAATTAGGGTTCTCGGTTATAACCGCCCGGTGGGGGTTGTGTGTGGGTCTCCATTTGACGAAGGCGGTCTAAATCCGTTGGGGCGCGGGTCGAGCCGGGCGAAGACGAGGCCACGTCTACGGTCCAGCCCAGGAGCAGTGTCGCCATAACGCAACTGAGGTGAGTGTCGTGACGGTGGTGGTTGGTCCGCGTCAGCCGTGTTCTATCCGCTGCTGGGTGAAGTCCCGCGCCTTCCTCACGCCGCCAAGCCGATAACCGCGTCTCTCTAAATATCCGGCGGGTTGTTAATCCGCCCCTCCAGATGGCAGGACGAGTTCGGTGGGCGTCTCTTGCGCGTCGAACGTAACGAGCGGCCCTCGACTGGCCGCGCGGAGCTGACGGAGACGTCAAATGGACGCTGACGACTGCGAATCGATTCGCTAAAAACAACGAATCGATTCACCGCTTGACACGCCCGTCTCCCTGTTCGCCGCGGTGTTGCGCGAATCGAATTGTCGATTCGCGCAAAGATGTCGGGAGTCGATTCGCGTCTTGCGTTTTTTAAAGCTAAGCAAGTGTTGTGCCTGGCTATGGCTTGGATGGGCGATCACCGAGCGTGCGTAACAGTTGCTACAGGCTGCGGTGTCGCGTTGGTAAGCGTACAGTAACCACGAGCTAGCAGTGGCGCGGATAAGTTGTGCAGTACTCCACTGCTAGCGTCTATGTTCGCCACCTTCGCCAAAGCTTACGCAGTGACCGGCGCGGTGAGGTCTGGTTCATTGGCATCGCCACCCCCCGAAACGGCGAACTGTGTAAGCGACTAAGTAACGGACGTTGATTCTTGGGTCACGCTCCCCCCCCCCCGTTGTTACGCCCCCCTCCCCCCGGGTTGCGCAAACTCCCCCACCCCTCCCCGGGTTACGCCCCCCCCGAGTTACGCTAACTCCCCCCCCCCCCCCCCCACACGGGTAACTGCCCCCCCCCCGCACCTCCGATTAGCACGGTTGGCTACGTACGGAGCACAGAAGTTCGGTATACTGTACATGCATATACCTGGCGCCCCCATTACAACTTGTGGAGCCCAGGTGTGTGACTGTCGCCAGGCCTCTATGTTGTACCAGGTAAGCTCCACTCAGCTGCTGTGTAGCTCTTTTTTCAGAAGCGACCTGGCCATCGCATGATGGCTCAACGAAGTGGGTTGCGTGGAAATTTCTAGCAGCCAAATATTCTTAACGCGTGATGTTGATTTCTAAATGTGGAGGGGGGAAAGCCGTAGGGCCTGGGGAGAGACGAGCGGCCATGTAGCAGGCATCGGGGTCGCGTTCAAACCTCCGACCACCGCATACCAGGCAAGGGATGACATCTCGCCCTGTAGAAGAAAGTTTCCTCACCCGGCACACCACATCCAGTACACCTCATCGCCGGTGTGAAAGACGTTTAGCGTACGTGCAGAGCGCTAACGAGGCCCTCGTTTGTGTCCGCAGAGCGATGGCGCCTGGGAGGATGGCGCTGGTGGTGGTGGTGGCGGTGTGCTGCGTGGCGCTGTGCCGCGCAGCCGAGGACGACAAGGAGAAGGAGAACATGGGCACGGTGATCGGCATCGACCTGGGCACCACCTACTCGTGGTGAGGTGCCAGCGCACTCTTACACGTGTACACACACACACACGTGTGTGTGTGTGTGTTCCCTCGCCACACACTCGTATTGAGTCGCACCCGCGGTCACTGATACACTCCTGCACACACGTGCACTGTGCAGCGCACTGAAGTGCAGAGCCAGCCGTGTGAGCGCTTGCTGCAAACGTGCACGATCGTGAATATTCTCATGGCTTTTACTAATTTCCCATCCATTCGATCCATTAATTTACTGTCAATTTAATCATCACAGATTTGCTTGCCCCCCATTGCTTCCCGTCTATTTTCTTCATTGCATTACCATTCCATTCATACAACATACACGTACCAGTCTTCAATTCTCTTTAAACGCCTCGGTTAAGGTGTCGTATAAATTGCGATAAAGTAAGATGTGCATGCATTATCTGGCTTCTCTGAACGCTCGCGCATGCGTCAGAGCACTCGAACAAATGGACCGCGCGCCTGGTGAGATGTGCGTCGTGGAATCTACATGCGCACGCCTCATTCTGTACCCTCTCTTCCCTCCGGGGTTTTGAAATCCGGCAGCGTGGGCGTGTTCAAGAACGGCCGCGTGGAGATAATCGCCAACGACCAGGGGAACCGCATCACGCCGTCATACGTCGCCTTCACGGCCGAGGGGGAGCGCCTCATCGGCGATGCCGCCAAGAACCAGCTGACCTCCAACCCCGAGAACACCGTGTTCGACGCCAAGCGGCTCATCGGGCGCTCGTGGACGGACCCCACCGTGCAGCACGACATCAAGTTCTGGCCCTTCACGGTGCGTGGGTGTCGGTAGTTTTCGTCGTGCTCCCTGCCCGCCCCCACTACCCCCCCCCCCCCCCCCCCCCCCCCCCCCCCCCCCCCCCCCCTCGCATTGTCGCCGGTTTTTCCACAGTCCCTGCTACCCCTCGTACAATTGCACAAGGTTAACGCGTAGTAGTGTCAGGCCTTTTTGGGGGTTTTTTGGGTTGGATCACGTAAATATAAACGTGTCATTGAGAGCGATCCTTGGATCTCTTCGGCTCAAGTGGCGAGTCCACTGCCATGTATGTGTGGCAGTTATTTTCGTGTGGAGCGGAAGTGTCGTGGTTAGCGCGCTGCACTACGAACCCGGGGGCACCTGAGTTCGATTCCCACTCACGGCTGCCAATGACGATTATCTGAAATATTTCTGGGCTTCCCCTAGGTCGTCTCTGCCTCGAATGAGTGTAAACATCGCTACTTGGGAGATGAAGGTGGTCTGGCATGGTACTGGCCACCCCAGTCCCTCGTGTACAGTACAGGCACCTTCATAGGTGCTTGCTAACAACACTCGCCCCAACAGTCGGTTCAGGCTATAAGGGGCATCTGCCCCTTGTCGGGTGCCACAGTGGCTATGACACGTTAACTACCTCTCCTGGTATACAGAAAGGAGGGGGTCGTGAGTTTGATCCTGACCCTAACGCCTGCTCTATAGTTGGAGTTTGCATGTTCTCACTGGTTGTAGGGACTTTTCTCTTGGTCCTCTGGTTTTTCCCTCCATTTTAGAAACACGTTTTTTAGCATTTGGCCACTGTCCACCTGATTTTGATGAGAAGCCAATTCATTGCTATCATGTGTAATAGCCAAATTGAAAAAGAGTACCTGGTGTGGTGTGTATACATCGCCACTAGGGGGAGACAAAGGTGGCAGGGCGTGGTTCTGGCCACCCACCCCCTAGTGTGCTCTGCCAGCCTTCATCGGTGTTGCTTGCTAACAGCACTTGCCCCATCAGTCTGTTCAGGTCATGCGGGGAATCTTTGTCTTTGTTTGAAACTTATTTCACACCGTACATGTGGTGTGGATTGGTGGTTATGGTGGTGGTTCTGCCTATGGTACCCTCTGTGAAAAAGAGCTTCATCGCTCGGCGGATTTCTCCCAAGATAAATAAAGATTCTCATTCTGGTTCCTACCCCCCTCTCTCTGCCGCCCTGCAGGTTCTGGAGAAGAAGGGGAAGCCCCACATCCAGGTTGAGGTGATAGCCGGCGAGTCCAAGACCTTCGCCCCGGAGGAGATCTCGGCCATGGTGCTCACCAAGATGAAGGAGACGGCCGAGGCCTACCTGGGCAAGAAGGTGCGACACGCATAACAGCGCTCGCGACCACGCTCCACGCACGCACCGGGCAAACCTCCCGTTCTGTGGGGGGGGGGGGTTGGGGAGCACGAGCGTTGCGTTGCATCTCGATCGTCAAGTTGCTCACGGGGGTTTGTTGTCGTCTGCAGGTGACGCACGCGGTGGTGACCGTGCCCGCCTACTTCAACGACGCCCAGCGACAGGCCACCAAGGACGCCGGCACCATCGCCGGCCTCAACGTGCTGCGCATCATCAACGAGCCGTACGCAACACACGGGGGTGGGGGGGGGGGCTACACGGTGGGGGGGGGCACACGGGTGGGGGGGGGACACGGGAGGGGGGGGGGAACTATACAGTGGGGTGCCACGGTGGTGGGGTTAACAGATACCGGCCAAAACACTGGGTGAGTTTTTGGCCGGTATCGGTCGGCCTCTCGTGACCGATTCTAAAATTAACCCCAATGAGCGCTGACCATCGAACGCGGTAGAGGAGACGCTGGACTCCAACTCGTCCACCGCCATCCACCCCGCTGATGGTCCTACTGGCTCTGCCCGTCCATCCCCGTGCGTGCAGGACTGCAGCGGCCATCGCCTACGGGCTGGACAAGAAGGAGGGCGAGAAGAACATCCTGGTGTTCGACCTGGGTGGGGGCACCTTCGACGTGTCGCTGCTCACCATCGACCACGGCGTGTTCGAGGTGGTGGCCACCAACGGAGACACCCACCTTGGTGAGCAGAGTGCCACGCCCCCCCCCGTGCCCCTCCCCTTGCCGCACCCACCCACTTTCTCTTCTGCCACACGCTTTACCCAACCACCACCACATTCTGGTAGTTTCCCGGCTGGTGGTCCTCGTTTTTAATATTGCCTGGGTGTGCCGTGGGGGAATGGGGTGCCGCTGTCAGTGGCTAGGAGATGTTAATGACCTCGCGTGAAATTTTCTCCGGCTACTCCAGTTATTCTTTCTACATTTAGAATCGACGTCGTGCATATGTGGCTGCCGCTATAAATTTCTACGAGATAAGCCACTTCGTTGAGATAATCTGTGGCCAGGTTTCTTCTAAAGAGTTGCACAACTCTGTGGGACTTGCTTGGTAAAATAAGAAAGTGTAGTAGTGTCAGAAGATGCATCGTAAATCGATCTAACAGTAGTGTTATATTAACATTGTACATCAGACCGTCTAAAACCAGAGACCGCCCTTTACAGGCAGGTCCTCGATACGAACGTTCCACACTTAAACGAACGAACCTGCCACGAGACGTCGTTATTTCTGACTTTCTCGAACGTTCGGCTCCGTAACCTTTTACGAACCGAACTGCGGCGTTGACAGCACGCTGACCTGACCACGGCTCTCCCACCCCACCCTTCGACCCGCAGGTGGCGAGGACTTTGACCAACGCGTGATGGAGCACTTCATCAAGCTGTACAAGAAGAAGACTGGCAAGGATGTGCGCAAGGACCACCGCGCAGTGCAGAAGCTCCGCCGCGAGGTGGAGAAGGCAAAGCGCACGCTCTCCACGCAGCACCAGGCGCGCATCGACATCGAGTCCTTCTACGACGGCGACGACTTCTCCGAGACGCTCACGCGCGCAAAGTTTGAGGAGCTCAACATGGTGAGAAGGGGAGGGTCACCGGCGGTGGTGGTGGTGTCTGTGGAACGGTGTCTGTGTGCTACGTGTAACTGTGTATATGCTCTAACTTTGTGCTGTGTAATTATGTAGGTAGTAGCGGTTAGCGCGCTGCACTAAAAGGTTAAATTCCCAACGCTAGTGACGATTATCTGAACTGGTCCTGGGCCTCCCCTAGGTCGGCTCTGCCTCAAATGAGTGTAAACATCGCTACTTGGGAGATGAAGGTGGTCTGGCATGGTGCTGGCCACCCCAGTCCCTCGTGTACAGTACAGGCACCTTCATAGGTGCTTGCTAACAACACTTGCCCCAACAGTCGGTTCAGGCTATAAGGGGGGCATCTGCCCCTTGTCGGGTGCCACAGTGGCTATGACACGTTAACTACCTCTCCTGGTATACAGAAAGGAGGGGGTCGTGAGTTGGATCCTGACCCTAACGCCTGCTATATAGTTGGAGTTTGCATGTTCTCACTGGTTGTAGGGACTTTTCTCTTGGTCCTCTGGTTTTTCCCTCCATTTTAGAAACACGTTTTTTAGCATTTGGCCACTGTCCACCTGATTTTGATGAGAAGCCAATTCATTGCTATAATGTGTAATAGCCAAATTGAAAAAGAGCTATATAGCTCGATGGTGCCTTGCCTGGTAAAATGAGAATGGAAGTCTTTAGTAGCTTTATTGTCGAGCTATATGCTGAACAACCGCGGGGTATGGAGCTCGCTCTCCACCGTACTGACTTCCTAACCTTGGCCTTGCCACCGCTGTGCCCGTGCCCCGCAGGACCTGTTCCGCTCGACGATGAAGCCGGTGCAGAAGGTGATGGAGGACTCGGACCTGAAGAAGACGGACATCGACGAGATCGTGCTGGTGGGCGGCTCGACGCGCATCCCCAAGATCCAGCAGCTGGTGAAGGAGCTGTTCAACGGCAAGGAGCCGTCGCGCGGCATCAACCCCGACGAGGCGGTGGCCTACGGCGCCGCCGTGCAGGCTGGCGTGCTGTCCGGGGAGGACAACACCGGTACGTGTGCGCTTGTGTCTTTGTAGCGGTTAGCGCTACGCTGCGCTATGAACCTGGCGACCCGGGTTCGATTCCCACTCACGGCCAACACCAGTGACGATTATCTTAACCGGTTCCGGGCCTCCCCTAGGTCGACTCGGTCTCAAATGAGGTACCTGGTGTGATGTGTAAACAACGTCACTAGGGAGACGAAGGCGGCCGGGCGTGGTGTTGGCCACCCACCCCCTTGTGTGCCGTGCCGGCCTTCATAGGCGCTCGCTTAACAGCACTTTTCCCTACGGTCTGTTCAGGCTACACGGGATCTTTGTAGGGGGCACAAGTGGTGCATCTGCCAGTCATCTCGGTCAACCCCCATGGCACCTGGGTCTGTCCCGTGACCTGCTGCCAGTGAGCACCTAGCCTGGCACAAGTCCCGTGGTGACGTCACCGCCACTTGGTGGCGAATGACGTTGGTTTTTAAATCTTTTATATTAAGTTTGCTTGCTTGCGCGCTTACGACCGTGCAAATCTTTCGGTCGTTTTTAACCCACTTCCCGTGATCCAATCGAGCTGACATTTTGCACACAGACTCGTTGTGCGTGACAATTTATTTTCGTGAAAAAAAATCCAAAATTTTCCACTTTTTAGGGGAATTTTTTTTCATATTTCATTTAATACCAATGTGATAAAAATGAAACTCTTACTCAAGAAAAACAGAAATGAATAATAAAATAAAACCGATGCCATGCATATAAAGGATTTATAGTGAAAAACTTTGTTTTTACGGGTTAATTTTTTTTTGTCTAAACTTGCGTTGAGCACAGTTGGCTACGTATGGTACCAAAGAAGTTAATCGAACGTGTGGCACTGACACAAATGCGCGGACACAGACAAGATCCCCCGTGTTAGCCTTAACAGACTGTTGGGGTAAGTGCTGTCAGCAGCACCTAAGGAAGGCTGGTACAGCACACGAGAGGGGGTGGGTGGCCGGCCAGCAACCACGCTTGGCCACCTCTCTCTCTCCAGTGGTGATGTTAACACTTCACACGAGATGCTAATTTGAGGCTTAGTCGACCTAGGTGAGGCCCAGGACCGGTTCATATTCGCCACTGTTATTACCCTTGAGTGGGAATTGAACTTTGGTGGCTGGGTTTGTAGCGCAGTGCGCTCACCATTGCGCAACCGCTCCACACATGCTTGTCTTGGTTATTCTCAATGTACGTGTACAGATTTTTGGTTCTTTCACATGTAGGTTGGGTAGCCCTTGCACAGGGTTGGGGCTGGCTACGTGTACACACGGTTAGGGTTGAAGATTCGTGCCTACGTGCGTGAACAACTCCAGCGTGTGCACATGTACATGCGGTGTGCGTGCTAGTTTTGGGAAAGCTCAGCATTGCAATCCATGTGCCAAACGTGGCATCGTGCTTTTAAATATGACGGTGCTGCCCAATCAAAACATACGCTCGTGTACCTGTGTCTGTCACGGGCGCCGGTGGCTAGGATATGTTAACTACCTCACCTGGTATACAGGACGTCGTGGGTTCTATCCCGACCTTGACGCCTGCTGTATATTTGAAGTTTGCAGTGTCTCTCCATGGATACTTTCCCTCCACATTTATACACATTCGTTTGTGGTGTATTTGGCTGCTGCTATAATTTGAGCTATCATTTGTTATAGCCAGGTTGCTTCTGAAAAGGAGCTCTGAAGCTCGGTGGGCTTTACCTGGTGAGATAAAAATGTTTCTTAGTTTTATTGTCGTCATCATCACACTCTCTCTCTGCCGTGTGCTGCTGCAGGCGACCTGGTGCTGCTGGACGTGTGCCCCCTGACCCTGGGCATCGAGACGGTGGGTGGCGTCATGACCAAGCTGATCCCTCGCAACACCGTGGTGCCCACCAAGAAGTCGCAGATCTTCTCGACGGCCGCCGACAACCAGCCCACCGTCACCATCCAGGTGTTTGAGGGCGAGCGCCCCATGACCAAGGACAACCACCTGCTGGGCAAGTTCGACCTGACGGGCATCCCGCCGGCCCCGCGCGGGGTCCCCCAGATCGAGGTGACCTTCGAGATCGACGTCAACGGTATCCTTCGCGTGTCCGCAGAGGACAAGGGCACGGGCAACAAGAACAAGATCACCATCACCAACGACCAGAACCGCCTGACGCCCGAGGAGATTGAGAGGATGGTGTCCGACGCGGAGCGCTTCGCTGACGACGACAAGCGGGTGAAGGAGCGCGTGGAGGCTCGCAACGAGCTGGAGAGCTACGCCTACTCGCTCAAGAACCAGATCGGTGACAAGGAGAAGCTGGGTGGCAAGCTGTCGGACGAGGACCGCGAGACCGTCGAGAAGGCCGTGGAGGACAAGATCGCCTGGCTCGAGGGCCATCAGGAGGCCGACACGGACGACTTCAAGGCGCAGAAGAAGGAGCTGGAGGAGGTGGTGCAGCCCATCGTGAGCAAGCTGTACGGCGGAGCGGGGGCCGGCCCCGGTGGGGAGGACGAGGGAGGGGAGGAAGGGGCTGACAAGGACGAGCTGTGAGGCGGCGATGGTGGGAGGCGGAGTCGGAACGACACCCACGGCAATCGCCGCCACCCCTCTGTCGGCCAACCACGACCTCTCTGGACTCTGTAAAGTTTCCGCTGTGTTTGTTGCCTTTGTCGTTCAATGATTGAGCTGGAGAGAGACAGTGCCCCCCCCCCACACCCCTGCATTGGTTTGGGTTCATCGGATATTTAAACCCTGCCTGGTGGTGGGCCCCTAGCACTTGGTGGCGGGGTGGACCCCAGATCTGCATGTGGTGTGGGTCATGCCACCCAGGAGATGCCGGTGGTACCAATGCTGGCTTTGCCTCCTTCTCCCCCCCCCCACTTTCCCTTCCCTTGTTCAGCCGGGGATTTGTCAAACTTGAGAGTTTGCCAGCCCAGCAGCAGCACCGCCGTATGGTCACCAAGCGGCTCGGCCTCTCCCAGTGCTCCAGGTGCCCAGGATAGAGGGGTGGGGGGTTGCGTTATTGAGGATTATCTCGGTTTAAGTTATTGCAGAGCAGCAGCGACGGCGACCGTTCAGACCCAATGCAGTGGGGGACTCGACTCGACGGCAAAACGGAGAATAAACGGAAACGCGAGATGAGGCCCGCGTGTGACCCGTGGTGTTTATTTACAAGCGCCTGCCCTCCTTGGGTGCAATTCTGATGCTCCACACTGCAACAACCTCGATTCTAAAGTCTTTATTTGGACTGCATGAGGAGTGAATCTGAGTTTGTTTTCAAATGGTCATTTACAACGGGCAGGCTGCAAAAAACCCGATGGGTGTACAAAATAGAGAAAATGGGAAGAAAGTCACGGCAAATACAATTCGTTGTATACAGTCTGTTCTATAACGTGGTGGTAGCATTCCTGCAGAACACACCACGTTATGCCATAATCGCGTAACAATATAGAGTGAAGCGGTCTGCGTTTAACACGTGATGTGTAATGCTGGCCGAACAAAGCCCGAGGGTACTGTGAGGATCCAGCAGCATCTCGGTGTCTTGTGCAGTGACGTTATGCTGAGGTGGCTCTATAACAACCACGTGGTCCTACCTGCGCGCCCGTAGGTGTTTGCTCTATCGTGTTTATACATCCAGTTTGCGTTTATTAAAACACGCGATTATAGAACAGACTGTCAGATGTCTCAAGATTGTTCAAGGCAGCCACGACAAAGCCAGACCACACCGAGCACCACTGGGTCCCGTGTTGAACGTATGGAGTGACGCTTCACATTGGGGGTCAAGGCTCTCGCGCTTGCGTCCCCTACGCAGTGTGCGTGCCGATCCTTGGCATGCTTGTGCTGCGTGTAACGGCCTCGTCTACGATGCAACGCGGGGCTGGTGAGGAATCCTTGTGAGCGTCGCCTCTGCAAACGCATTTGTTCTGCCACGGACATGGCCTGGTGTCATCGACTGCTGAGAGAAGGACCCCTCCCCAAGCTCTCGCCGCCTCTCTCAATCCCACGATTTGTAATAATAATCCACCCGGCCAGCTGCTCTGTGCACACGAGCAGATTTGTAACAGCTCCATCTCCCTTGCAACCCTTGCCATATATGAAGAGTGAACACTTGGGGCTGTTGCCTGTACTGAATAAGAACCACAGCCATACATTTTGGTGGTGTAATCACCCAGCCACTTGGCCTCCCCGGCTGGTGTGGTGTTTTTTGGCAAGGCCGCCTGCACGCCACTGCGTTGGCGGCGGTGTTGCCAGCAAACACCGTTCTGGTGATGTGGGCAAGGCAATTTGGGGATACTACGGTTGCCAGCCTGCAGACATTGTGATGGGCCGTCTTATATTTACGAGGGTATTTGTTCAGGAGAGGGTTTTTGGGGTTGAACGATAAATCTATAATTTGGGGGGCATGGAAGACGTGTCAGTCGGTGACTTGTTGGAATCCTTTTACTTTTGGTTTCCCCACGTGCTTTTTTTGTGCCGTTTGTTAAAAAAAAAGTTTGAGGCAGTGCGACACGGTTTAATGTGTGAAGATTAGAACGCAGTCCTGTGGTGTACCTTTGCTTGTCACCTAACAATTACACGCATTCTCTGCTGTTTGGCGGAAGGGGGAGTGTTTCGATCCATTTTCCCAGGGCGCCCCCCACACTCTCCTCTCCCTGAGGTCTGGGTCCAGCCGCTTTCCCATGGCCAGTCCCCACCGGGTTACCCCACGAGATTTCTCCAATTCTCGCGGTTGGTGCTGTGGCAATCAAATCTGGTGCCACCCATGCCCTGCTCGCTTCCCCCAGAGTATTGTTGCTCTGCTCTGGCTCAAGCGTCTGCTGCTGGCCCCACGGGGCTCCCCTGGCGCCATCACCCCTGTGCCCCCCTCCCCCAGGCGAGAAACGTGGGGGGTGGGGGGTTATTTATGCTCTGCGCTACCGCTTGGAATTCTCCCCTGGCCTGCCACCTTTGTTTCTCCTCTACTGCCTCATTTTTGCGAGGTCCGCACGCCCCCCCCCCCCCCCCCACTACTGATCTGTGTGCGCCCTCTGCCGTCGGTCGAGTGCGTTCTGCCAAACCGGAAATTGTCAAAAGTAAAGTTTTTACAGAAAAACCGCTGCCTCGGCTTGTCCAGCGTGTGCGTGCGTGGTGTTTGCTGCTGGGCGTGGAGTTGTACGGCGGTTCGCGCACTGCACTACAATCCTGGGTGGGCCACGGTTCGAGTTCCGCTCACGGCCACCAACGCCACTGACGATGATCTGCACCGATCCTGCCCCTCCCCCTCGGCTGACGCGGCCTCCAAATGAGTGCTTGGTGCGATGTGTAAAACCTCGCCAGAACAACTTATTTTACCAGGTAAGGGCCCACTGAGCTATGTAGCTCTCTTTCGAATTTACCTGGCTACCACATAGCTCAACGAAGTGGCTTGTGGAAATGTCCAGCAGCCAAAGAATTTAAACGCATGTTTCGAAATGTGGAGGGGAACTGGAGGCCCCGGACAAAAATCCACGCGCCCGCGGGAAGAACATGCCAACTCCAAATATACAGGCATCGGGTTGGGATCGATCCCACGAAAATTGTAAACCTGGCAAGGTCGTGAACATCGTTCCACCGTGGCACCCCAACCACGGATGGGAGGTGGTGGAGGCATTCCAGCTGTGAAAATTCGCCACTCCAATCCTCCCTCCGTGATAATCTGGCTCGTCAAACACCTCCATGCAAAATCACAGCCGTTTTTCATCAACAGCCGTACGAATAGTAAAGCCTCAAAAGTCTCACGGAGACCCATCCACTCGCACAGATTAACAGACTCGCACTGGGATCTCTAACTTCGCATACAGACCCATAGACTCGCACAGATCGAGAGATTCGCATACATTTTGCAGCGGGCAAAGTATAAATTCGCGAAGACAGCCCGAAGTAAAGCGACGTCACCGATTCGATTTGAAAGAGAAACATAACGCCCATCAATAATCCTCTTCGTGTGGCTGTTGTTTGATGCCAAGTAGAATCAGTAGTTCCACATCGAGGTGGTTGATGAGCCAGATGACTGCGTCTCGAGTCGCAGAGTGGTGAATCATCGCTGCTGTGATGCCTCTCCTTCACGTAGATCTGTATGGGACCTATGGGTCTCTTCCGTGAATATATGGGCATCTATGTAAGTCTATCAGTATTTATAAGTATTGTTTTCTGTATGGTTCTCTGTGAGTATCGGTATCTGTGTGAGTCTATAGGTCTCGCGTCACCTGCTTCAACGTACGTTAAAGAACCCGTGATGTAATTTACAAAGACCAGCATCGCCCCCTCCCGCCAGACTTTCACACACGGGCAGCTGCCACTGGATGTGCCCCTCGGCTTGACCACACAGCAGCGGCAGCAGCAGTTGCATCGCCCCCTACCGCCAGACTAACGCACACACGGGCAGCTGCCATTGGGTGTGCCCCTAGGCTTGATTGCACAGCAGCGGCAGAAATACCAACTCCCGCAGGCTGCGTGCGTCTCGCGTGGTTCCCTCGCTCCTGTGTCACGATAGCGCCATTGCCCCCCCAACCTCCCCCTGTAAGTTGTAAATTCGTCATTGCCTCGTCCACCAAACCTCAGGGGCTCGTAACCCCCCCCCCTCTCCCATAGGGAGATTGCTTTGGTCCGAGTGGAAAATCCTCACACCTGGATATTCTCCCTGTAAGGTCACGGGGGTCGTGGGAAGGTGTGTGGTGGTGAGCAGGTGTCGACTGCGCAATCAACAGTGACCTGGGTTCGATTCCTGGCTGTAGCGAACATCAGCACTGGGGGTGGGGGGGGGCAATGAATTCGTTCTAAGCATAGCATCCCCCCTTAAGTCCACAGTCTCATATGAGTGCCGGTACAAAGTGTAGAAATAGACACTGGGGAGACAAAGGTGGCTGAGCAGAGCGAGGGCCACACCACCGTCTCTCACCACTCACCAGTGTTGCCAACTCTTGAGTTGGAAAAATCCAGGACGTATCAACAGAGGAAGACGAATACTTCGCAATTCCAGTAGAGGTGGTAACTCAATGTGAATTGTTCTCTTGAGTGCTACATTGTTAATATTGCTATAGAATAACAACAAAAACTCAACACGGAGTTTCGGGCAATGACTCATCTCAATAGCATATAGCAGCTATTTTCTCAACAACAGGACGAACCTCGGGAAAATTGAAGAGGTGACAACCCTCCTTACCACTCAATCACCCACTCAGTCACGCACTTAGCCACTAACCCATCTTCCATTCATTCACCCAATAACAACAGCCACCATTTGCTTCACTGCCACCAAGTGGCAGTGACATCACCACGGCGCTTGTACCAGGCTAGGTGCACTTTGAGGTCACGTAAAGTGTCGAAAGCTGGCTGACAGGAGGTCACGGGGTAGACCCAGAGACCCAGGTGCCATGGATTTATTGACTGGGATGACTTCGCTCGTTGTTGTTTGTGTCACTCCTCTGCCCTCTGTTGTTGCTGGGGGAGCGACTGCGTCCAACTGCCCAGTAACACCCTTCATGAACCTCCTCTACAAAGGCAGATTTTGACCCGACTGGTACCAGTTTTCAGCAAGTCGACTCAGCTTCACATGCACAGTCCGTCTCTTTACCAGCGTGGCCGACCCCACAACCCCGTACCACGCCGCCAACTTCCGGGTGAGGAGTCAACATTACCTCACCCAATGGCCGGTGGGAGGGGTCGGTGGAAGGCATTGTTACCAGCACCAGCACCTCCGTGAGGGGCCCGATGGTGGCAGCCGACACCAGGATAACGGCCACGGGTGGTAAGCGGGGGCGATCCGGCCCCTATCCCAGGAACGGAATCCACTCCCCGCTGCCCTCCACGGTGGCGCATCGCTGGCGGGGCTGCACATAGAACTCCTGGTTACACAGCTGGTGTCCGAGGTGGACCTCAAGGGTGACCCTCCCCAGCAGTCCCATCCCAGCTCCACTCGCAGTGTGCAGCGCGCGATCCGGGGCCTGTAGGCGGCCCATGTCAACTCCGATCGTGTTGCAGAATCCGGGTACGCCGCCCATTTACCTGCCCTTCCACCAGCCACGTGGCCCCCGTGATTCCTGCCACTAGCTCCCGCAGCCAGTCGCTCGCAGTCGCCGCGTCCTTAGGTGTTGTTGTCGGCATCTGCGTGGGGGTCACTCGCTCACCATTATTATCATCCATTTGTGTTGGGACCACGTCTATTGCACCCCTAGTTGGTCCACTCTCAAGGGGGCGTTGGCATTTAACCCTGGCGCGTGTCTAGCGCAGGCGATCTCTGGACAGTCTCTCACGAGATGCCCCCGACGGTCGCATAGATAACACGCCCGGGGGAGGGCGGTGGCTCCATAGGAGGCCCTTGCCCACTCCCACTACTGATACGCATCTGCCCGAACTCTGCCTCTAATTGGGACACCCTCCCGGTTAGTCCCTCTACCGTGGAGCGTAGCCCCCCCACCTCGGCCTGGACTACCTCCACTGTGGACTGCAATTTGTTCATATTTCGGGTCACCTCCCCGCGTACTTGGTGCACCTCCTCGCGGGCTTGGGTCACTTCTTCGAGGGCTTGGGTCACCTCCCTGCGCAAATGGGTCACATGGCCGGCTACATCCCCTATGCCGGTCTGTATCCCTGGAGGCTCCCTTGCCCCCCCCTCCTCCTCCTCTTCCTCCTCTGAAAGAAGGCTCGCGATGGCGCGCTCCCGTCCCAGCCCTCGAAACTGCGCGCACTCATTAGCGAGTTTCTCGTAACCTGTCCTGCGAGGATCGGCCAATCTCCTGGCCCCGGGAAACCGTGGGACTTTCCATCTAGGGGTCCATCGGATTAAAACCCGATGTGCCAGGCAATCCCCCACCAGGACACTACGTGGGTGCGCTGCGTGCGTGTGTGTGTTTACAGCAGGGGCCGGGAGGGAATCGCGGCGCTTGCGGAGTTGTTCCGCGGTCGTGGCACCACACACTCACTCGGCCACTCACGCAATCACCCTCTATGCACTCACCCACTTATTCACCCACCCACCTACCTACCCGCCTACTCCCTTAAGCACCCCAAGACCTGTAGACAACTTCGCAGGAAAGCAACCTCCTCGTTCCAGAAGAGGACGATCCGTGGAAAACCGGGAGAGGTGGCAACACCAGCAACACCTCGTGGGAGCCAACATCTCCCTCTTGCACCTGTGCGGGTGGGAGCGGGGTGCAGGAGGCAGGGTACAGATGGAGGCGGTGATAAAGGAGCAAGGTCACGGAGATAAGCGCGGATATAAGAGGCGATTGCTCGACGACGGCGCACATCAGTCGCCTGTTGCCTCGACCGCGGTCAGCATCTCTCTCTCTCTCGCCATGATCTATCTACTGCTCGCCGCACTCGTGGGTGCTGCCGGTAAGTGCCAGGCACAGCAGCGATGGCGCGCCCACTCCTGCGAGAACGGCCCCGTCTCCACGACGAGTGACCTGGCTGTACAGCCCGTCCTCCTACAACGTGTGGGTAGTAGTTGCCTTCCTGAAGACCGCTGCATTGTGGAACAATCTCGTTATGGTAACCGTTGACTCAATAGGGAATTAAGGAGTTAGGGGGTAGTAGGTTTCAAAAACACGAACATGACTGACATTTTTCATGATAATTTGTTATATTATTGGTAATTTTACGTATTATTTTACAATTACTGTGTTTTAGTTTAATAATATAATTAATCATATAACCCAAAAATGAGTGAAAATGCATGTTACAGTGTTAGTGGTGAAGCCGCTCAGTGTAATTAAAAGAAAAATAGTTTTACGCAAAGCGAGACAAATGATATAGGGCGGCGCACAGTCCACGATAATGCGTGAAATGCATAACGCAGGCTGAACAAAGACTGAGGCACGTGGGTAGCAGCTAGAAGCATCCAGCAGCATCCCAATGCCTTGTGTGATGATGCTACGCCGTACGACCGCTTACTCCTACGCGCGCGACGTAGTTCCATTCCCTAAATCGCGTTCTATCCAATTCGCATCCGCGTTATATATTTACAAAAAATCTGTTCCCTAATACATTCATCGCGTTGTACCAAAATCACGTCATGAAAACACGCGGCGTTACAGGAGAGCAGATTGTACGCGGTGCCCAGAAACCCAAGCGGCGAGACGATGGGCAGGAGGACCCAGACGCACAGAGAGAGCCTTGGCACAGCAAACCACGCGTAGCCAATTATCTGGGCTGTAGCCACATCGGCCGGAAAGCGACCAATGTCAAAAAACTCGGCAGGTTGGAGGCTGCACAGAGCTTGGCAGGCGACCTGCTCGGCGTAGCGGGTGCTGTAGGCTGCTTGTGTTGAGGGCAGCAGAGGGGCAGCGCAGAGCAGCACAGCAGCCGCTGCTCTGCGCCCTCTCCACCTTCAGCGATGTGCACTGCCCAGCGGGGTGAGTGAGCTACATGACCTCGCACGCGTCTCCTCGCCGTTGCTCGCCGTGTCCCACCGTGGCTACCGTGTGTCCACGTACTCCACCGTGTGTCCCTGTATCTCCATGTCATCGCGTATCTCCTGCACGTGTCTATATGTATATTCATGTCTCGACGTGTCACTTTCACCGTGTCTGTATGTATCTCCACGTGTGTGTATGTATCCCCAGGTGTCTGTATGTATCTCCACGTGTCTGTATGTGTCTCCACGTGTCTGTATGTATCCCCACGTGTCTGTATGTGTCACCACGTGTCTGTATGTATCCCCACGTGTCTGTATGTATCTCCACGTGTCTGTATGTATCACCACGTGTCTGTATGTGTCTCCACGTGTCTGTATGTGTCACCACGTGTCTGTATGTATCACCACGTGTCTGTATGTATCTCCACGTGTCTGTATGTGTCTCCACGTGTCTGTATGTGTCACCACGTGTCTGTATGTATCACCACGTGTCTGTATGTATCACCACGTGTCTGTATGTATCTCCACGTGTCTGTATGTATCCCACGTGTCTGTATGTATCTCCACGTGTCTGCATGTATCATCACGTGTCGGTATGTGTCACCACGTGTCTGTATGGTTTAGCACGTGTCTGTATGTATCCCCACGTGTCTGTATGTATCTCCACGTGTCTGTATGTGTCTCCACGTGTCTGTATGTATCCCCACGTGTCTGTATGTATCACCACGAGTCTGTGTGTATCACCACGTGTCGGTATGTGTCACCACGTGTCTGTATGTATCAGCACGTGTCTGTATGTATCCCCACGTGTCTGTATGTATCTCCACGTGTCTGTATGTGTCTCCACGTGTCTGTATGTATCCCCACGTGTCTGTATGTATCACCACGAGTCTGTGTGTATCACCACGTGTCTGTATGTATCCCCGTGTGTCTGTATGTATCTCCACGTGTCTGTATGTATCACCACGTATCTGTATGTATCACCACGTGTATGTATGTATCTCCGCGTGTCTGTATGTATCCCCACGTGTCTGTATGTATCTCCACGTATCTGTATGTGTCTCTACATGTCTGTATGTGTCACCACGTGTCTGTATGTGTCACCACGTGTCTGTATGTATCACCACGTGTCTGTATGTATCTCCACGTGTCTGTATGTACCTCCACGTGTCTGTATGTATCACCATGTGTCTGTATGTATCTCCACGTGTCTGTATGTACCTCCACGTGTCTGTATGTATCCCCACGTGTCTGTATGTATCTCCACGTGTCTGTATGTATCACCACGTGTCTGTATGTATCACCGTGTGTCTGTATGTATCTCCACGTGTCTGTATGTATCCCCACGTGTCTGTATGTATCTCCACGTGTCTGTATGTATCACCACGTGTCTGTATGTATCTCCACGTACCTCGACAGCGGCGGCTCCGCTGGGAGGAGACCACATTGTGGGTGGCGAGGAGTGCGTCCCGCACTCCCAGGCGTGGCAGGTCTCCCTCAACATCGGCTACCACTTCTGTGGCGGTTCCCTCATCAGCGACGAGTGGGTGGTGTCCGCCGCTCACTGCTACCAGACGTGAGTGGGGGGCGGGTGAGGTGTGGTGAGGTGTGGTGAGGTGTGGTGAGGTGTGGTGAGGTGTGGTGAAAGCGTGCGGTCTGGCGTGTGGAGAGGTGTATTCACAGTAGATCAGGTGGTGAGAAGCGAGGTATAAGATGAAGTGTCTGGTGAGGAATATGGTGAGGTGTGAGGAGAGGTGTCGTCACAGTAGACCACGTGGTGAGGTGTGAGGTGTCGTCACAGTAGACCACGTGGTGAGGTGTCGTCGCAGTAGACCACGTGGTGAGGTATGAGGTGAGGTTTCGTCACAGTAGACCACGTGGTGAGGTATGAGGAGAGGTGTCGTCACAATAGACCACGTGGTGAGGTGTCGTCGAAGTAGACCACGTGGTGAGGTATGAGGAGAGGTGTCGTCACAATAGACCACGTGGTGAGGTGTCGTCGCAGTAGACCACGTGGTGAGGTATGAGGAGAGGTGTCGTCACAATAGACCACGTGGTGAGGCGCGGGTGGTGAGGTGAGGCGTGTGGTAAGCTCGTCTGTGTCTACCCCCCCCCCTCCACCCGCTTGCCCCCCTCACCCCCCTCAGCGCATCCCGTATCTCCGTGCGCATCGGCGAGCACAACATCTTCGCTAGCGAGGGCACCGAACAGTGGATCCAGGCCTCCAAGGCGATCCGCCACCCGGGCTACGCCTCCAGCACCATCGACAACGACATCATGCTGGTGAAGCTGGCCAAGCCGGCCACGCTCAACGCCTACGCGCAGCCCGTGGCGCTGCCCACCGCCTGCGCAGCCGTGGGCGTCATGTGCACCATCTCGGGCTGGGGCGAGACCGAGACCGCCATAGGTACACCTACACGTGTCTCCATCCACGCGTCTTCTCACCGTGTCTCCATCCACGCGTCTTCTCACCATATCTTCCATCCACGTGTCTCCTCACTCTGTCTCTCCTCACCGTGTCTCCATCCACGCGTCTTCTCACCGTGTCTCCATCCACGTGTCTCCTCACCGTGTCTCCATCCACGTGTCTCCTCACTGTGTCTCCATCCACGCGTCTCCTCACCGTGTCTCCATCCACGTGTCTCCTCACTGTGTCTCCATCCCACTGCGTCTCCTCACCGTGTCTCCATCCACGTGTCTCCTCACTGTGTCTCCATCCACGCGTCCTCCTCACCGTGTCTCCATCCACGCGTCTCCTCACTCTGTCTCTCCTCCCCCCCCCCCCACCACCCGCGGGTCCCCAGGCAGCCCGGACGTGCTGATGTGCGTGCAGGCGCCGGTGCTGAGCGTGGCGGACTGCGAGTCCGGCTACCCGGGAGACATCACTGACAACATGGTGTGCCTGGGGTACATGGAGGGCGGCAAGGACTCGTGCCAGGTGCTCGCCTACCCCGCTCTCACCTACCTCACTCACCTACCCCACTCACCTACCCACTGTCACCTACCCCACTCACCTACCCCATTCACCTACCCCACTCACCTACCCACTGTCACCTACCCCACTCACCTACCCCACTCACCTACCCCACTCACCTTACCCCACTGTCACCTACCTCACTCACCTACCCCACTCACCTACCCCACTCACCAACCCACTGTCACCTACCTCACTCACCTACCTCACTCACCTACCCCACTCACCTACCCCACTCACCTACCCCATTCACCTACCCCACTCACCTACCCCACTCACCTACCCCACTCACCTGTCTCACTCGTCTACCCCACTCACCTACCCCACTCACCTACCCCACTCACCTACCCCACTCACCTACCCACTGTCACCTACCCCACTCACCTACCCCACTGTCACCTACCCCACTCACCTACCCCACTCACCTACCCCACTCACCTACCCCACTCACCTACCCCAATTCACCTACCCCACTGTCACCTACCCCACTCACCTACCCCACTCACCTACCCCACTGTCACCTACCCCACTCACCTACACCCACTCACCTACCCCACTGTCACCTACCCCACTCTCACCGACCCCACTCACCTACCCACTCACCTACCCCACTCTCACCTACCTCACTCACCTACCCCACTCACCTACCCCACTCACCTACCCCACTCACCTACCCCACTCACCGAACGTTTTTACAATGTGGGAGGAACCAAAAAAGCCCCAGGGGAGGAGCATCACTACTACCCCTACCCACTTGCTGTACTGTCACCCCACTACCCACTGCTGTACTGTCACCCTACTACCCCACTTGCTGTACTGCCACCCCACTACCCACTTGCTGTACTGTCACCCTACTACCCCCACTTGCTGTACTGCCACCCCACTACCCAACTTGCTGTACTGTCACCCTACAACCCCACTTGCTGTACTGTCACCCCACTACCCACTTGCTGTACTGTCACCCACTAACCCACTTGCTGTACTGTCACCCCACTACCCACATTGCTGTACTGTCACCCTACTACCCCACTTGCTGTACTGTCACCCCCACTACCCACTTGCTGTACTGTCACCCTACTACCCCACTTGCTGTACTGTCACCCTACTACCCCACTTGCTGTACTGCCACCCCACTACCCACTTGCTGTACTGTCACCCTACACCCCACTTGCTGTACTGTCACCCCCACTACCCACTTGCTGTACTGTCACCCTACTACCCCACTTGCTGTACTGTCACCACCACTACCCACTTGCTGTACTGTCACCCGACTACCCACTTGCTGTACTGTCACCCTACTACCCACTTGCTGTACTGTCACCCTACTACCCACTTGCTGTACTGCCACCCCACTACCCACTTGCTGTACTGTCACCCCCACTACCCAATTGCTGTACTGTCACCCCACTACCCACTTGCTGTACTGTCACCCCACTACCCACTTGCTGTACTGTCACCCCACTACCCACTTGCTGTACTGTCAACCCTACTACCCACTTTCTGTACTGTCACCCTACTACCCACGTTCTGTACTGTCACCGCCACTACCCACTTGCTGTACTGCCACCCCCACTACCCACTTTCTGTACTGTCACCCTACTACCCACTTGCTGTACTGTCACCCTACTACACCACTTGCTGTACTGTCACCCTACTACCCACTTGCTGTACTGTCACCCACGACCCACTTGCTGTACTGTCCACCCTACTACCCACTTGCTGTACTGTCACCCCACTACCCACTTGCTGTAACTGTCACCCTACTACCCACTTTCTGTACTGTCACCCTACTACCCACTTGCTGTACTGTCACCCCACTACCCACTTGCTGTACTGTCCACCCTAATACCCACTTGCTGTACTGGCACCCCACTACCCACTTGCTGTACTGCCACCCCACTACCCACTTTCTGTACTGTCACCCCCTAACTACCCACTTGCTGTACTGTCACCCCTGCTAAACCACTTTCTGTACTGTCACCTACTACCCACTTGCTGTACTGTCACCCTACTACCCACTTTCTGTACTGTCACCCTACTACCCACTTGCTGTACTGGTCCCCTACTACCCCTTTCTGTACTGTCACCCACTTTCTGTACTGTCACCCTACTACCCACTTGCTGGTACTGTCACCCTACTACCCACTTGCTGTACTGTCACCCTACTACCCACTTGCTGTAACTGTCACCCCCTACTAACCCACTTGCTGTAACTGTCACCCTACTACCCACTTTCTGTACTGTCACCCTACTACCCCACTTGCTGTACTGCCACCCCACTACCCACTGGCTGGTACGTCACCCTACTACCCCACTTGCTGTACTGTCACCCCCTACTACCCCACTTGCTGTACTGTCCCACTACCCCACGCCCCTTGCTGTACTGTCACCCCTACTACCCCACTTGCTGTACTGTCACCCCCACTACCCACTTGCTGTACTGTCACCCCACTACCCACTTGCTGTACTGTCACCCTACTACCCCACTTTGCTGTACTGTCACCCTACTACCCCACTTGCTGTACTGTCACCCTACTACCACACTTGCTGTACTGCCACCCCACTACCCACTTGCTGTACTGTCACCCTACTACCCCACTTGCTGTACTGTCACCCCTACTACCCACTTGCTGTACTGTCACCCTACTACCCCACTTGCTGTACTGTCACCCCACTACCCACTTGCTGTACTGTCACCCGACTACCCACTTGCTGTACTGTCACCCTACTACCCACTTGCTGTACTGTCACCCTACTACCCACTTGCTGTACTGCCACCCACTACCCACTTGCTGTACTGTCACCCCCCACTACCACTTGCTGTACTGTCACCCACCCACTACCCACTTGCTGTACTGTCACCCCACTACCCACTTGCTGTACTGTCCACCCCACTACCCACTTGCTGTACTGTCACCCTACTACCCACTTTCTGTACGTCACCCTACTACCCACCTTTCTGTACTGTCACCCCACTACCCACTTGCTGTACTGCCACCCCCACTACCCACTTTCTGTACTGTCACCCTACTACCCACTTGCTGTACTGTCACCCTACTACCCCCTTGCTGTACTGTCACCCTACTACCCACTTGCTGTACTGTCACCCCACTACCCACTTGCTGTACTGTCACCCCTACTACCCACTTGCTGTACTGTCCCCCCTACCCACTTGCTGTACTGTCACCCTACTACCCACTTTCTGTACTGTCACCCTACTACCCACTTGCTGTACTGTCACCCCACTACCCACTTGCTGTACTGTCACCCTACTACCCACTTGCTGTACTGTCACCCCACTACCCACTTGCTGTACTGCCACCCCACTACCCACTTTCTGTACTGTCACCCTACACCCACTTGCTGTACTGTCACCCTACTACCCACTTTCTGTACTGTCACCCTACTACCCACTTGCTGTACTGTCACCCTACTACCCACTTTCTGTACTGTCACCCTACTACCCACTTGCTGTACTGTCACCCTACTACCCACTTTCTGTACTGTCACCCTACTACCCACTTTCTGTACTGTCACCCCACTACCCACTTGCTGTACTGCCACCCCACTACCCACTTTCTGTACTGTCACCCTACTACCCACTTGCTGTACTGTCACCCTACTACCCCTTGCTGTACTGTCCCCTACTACCCACTTGCTGTCTTCACCCCACTACCCACTTGCTGTACTGTCACCCTACTACCCACTTTCTGTACTGTCACCCTACTACCCACTTGCTGTACTGTCACCCACCACTACCCACTTGCTGTAACTGTCACCCTACCTACCCCACTTGCTGTACTGTCACCCACTACCCACTTGCTGTACTGTCCACCCTACTAAACCCACTTTCTGTAACGGTCACCCTACTACCCACTTGCTGTACTGCCAAACCCCACTACCCACTTGCTGTACTGGTCACCCACCACTACCCACTTGCTGTACTGTCACCCTACTACCCACTTGCTGTACTGTCACCCCGACTACCCACCTTGCTGTACTGTCCACCCACTACCCACTTGCTGTACTGTCACCCGACTACCCACGTGCTGTACTGTCACCCACTACCCACTTGCTGTACTGTCCACCCCACTACCCCTTTCTGTACTGTCACCCTACTACCCACTTGCTGTACTGCACCCTACTACCCACTTGCTGTACTGTCACCCTACTACCCACTTGCTGTACTGTCACCCTACTACCACTTGCGTGTACTGTCACCCCACTACCCACTGCTGTACTGTCACCCTACTACCCACTTGCTGTACTGTCACCACCACTACCCACTTGCTGTACTGTCACCCCTACTACCCAATTGCCTGTACTGTCAACCCACTACCCACTTTCTGTACGGTCACCCTACTACCCACGTGCTGTACTGTCACTCTACTACCCACGTTGCTGTACTGCCAACCCCACTACCCACTTTCTGTACTGTCACCCCACTACCCACTTGCTGTACTGTCACCCTACTACCCACTTGCTGTACTGTCACCCCACTACCCACTTGCTGTACTGTCACCCCATTACCCACTTGCTGTACTGCACCCCACTACCCACTTGCTGTACTGTCACCCTACTACCCACTTGCTGTACTGTCACCCTACTACCTACTTGCTGTACTGTCACCCCCACTACCCACTTGCTGTACTGCCACCCCACTACCCACTTGCTGTACTGTCACCCCACTACCCACTTGCTGTACTGTCACCCTACTACCCACTTGCTGTACTGTCACCCCACTACCCACTTGCTGTACTGCCACCCTACTACCCACTTGCTGTACTGTCACCCCACTACCCACTTGCTGTACTGTTACCCCACTACCCAGTTGCTGTACTGTCACCCCACTACCCACTTGCTGTACTGTCACCCCACTACCCACTTGCTGTACTGCCACCCCACTACCCACTTGCTGTACTGTCACCCCACTACCCACTTGCTGTACTGTCACCCTACTACCC